GTCAATGTAGGAAGTTTCTCATGGATTAAATTCTATAGACCAGCAAATCCATTTCATCCAGAAAAGAATGGATGCATTGAGACAAGATTTAGTCAACTCAGTTTCATCCATTTGATTGTCACTGTATTACCATTGCTTATTTCTCTTTCAAATAATTGATCTGTTTCATCTTAATTAATGAATTTGTAGGAATAGAGGGGTTTGTAATTACTTTTATATTTGTTTAATGTCCGTGAAATCAATGGTGATGGTTCCTTTTTCATTTCTGAAAGACTTGATCTTTCCTGGCAAAGACTCAGTCAATGAGAAGCCATGGATTCTTAGTTTACTATAACCTGCCCAACTTCCTTTTCCTTCCTATAAAAGTGTTCTTCTTCCCTTGTTGTGTGAGGAATTGAAATTTCCATGGTTGCGGATTGCAGTTCTCTGCCAATCCTGAAAAAAATCGGTCTTTGCTGGAGAACTGTCTGACAGTCTATTTGTAACAGGTCAACAGGTGCCACAGAGAATAGCTCCACTAGCTGAAAAAAATCCATTTGATCCGTTTAACCCTACCCTGGCTCTGATGGTGTCCAGTTTTGCCTATCTACAATGAGTTAGAAAGTTTTCCCCTTACTTTCATTTCTGGTAGAAATAGTAGATAATTGGTATTATTTCTTCTTTAAATGTTTGGCAGAATTTACCAGTGAACTCTTCCAGGCCTGTGCTCTTTTTATTAAAAAGATTATTTATTATTCATTCAATTTTTTTAATAGATGGAGAACTATTAAGATTGCCTGTTTCTCCTTGTATGAGTTTTGGTTATCAGTGTCTTTCAAGGAATTGGTCTGTTTCATCGAAATTAACAAATTTGTGGGAATAGAGGTGTTTATAATATTCCTTTTACATTCATTTAATGTCCTTGAAATCAGTGGCGATGGTTCCTTCCATTTCTGATACTAGCAATTTGTGTCTTCCTTCTTTTTCGTGCATACGCCACATTTACCCTTGCAAGAGAGAAGTCCAGATACCTGAAATTGTACAACCGTTTTTGGTAACTTCATTAGAAGATCAAATGCTAAAATTTTCACTTCTTCAAAAGTGCCAGTTAAACATTCCATTAGTGTTTGGAAACGACCAACATCAATATCATGACTTAGCTGATACACTGTTTGGACATGACCTAAAAACAAAATAACAAAAAAACAAGTTTAAATGAATGGAAGGAAAAAAAAGTAAAGTGAACAGAAGGAAATGGAAATCAACATTTTGAAATTGCCAAATTTATAAGAAAATTCATATAAGAATTCACACTTCAAGATTTACCCACAATAGTATAAAAATGTTTCCATTAATTTATTTACTAAAATGATAAAATAAGTATTAAAGTTCTCCAAATAGGAAATAAACATTTTTTAAAAATCTGTTAAAACTATTTCATCCTCTATCAAAAGGTTATATATTATAAGAGAAGATACCTAAGTTATTTTTTAAACAAACAAATATAAACAAGTAAATTTAGAAATACATCTTTTTAAAAAATCTTCATAAGCCTTCTTGACCTACAGTTCAAAGTCCTACTATGTCTTAGGTGAACTGACACAGAACAATCAATACAATACACATTCTAATAGCATTCAATGGATGTCAATGATATAGAAGGAATCTTTTGGCCATTCAGGCAAAAAGTTCAATTCATCTACAAAGTGGAAAACAATTAGTCTGGCTTCACTCTTCACCATAGCAGTATGTAGTGCTAGGTAATAGTGGAGCAATGCTTACAAAATCCGCAAGGAAAAAAGGGGTGATGAAAAACTGTCTATCAAAATCCTATTCCAGTATGAAGTATAACAGCAATATTTTTGAATGTGTAAGAAATTAAGAATTACATTTCCCCGAAAACTCTTCTCAAAGAAAGATGAATTTCAGCCAACCAAGACATGAACAGAAAAACTATCACTAAAGAATAATGGCAGTCACTGAATCCATTTAACTTTTTAAGATTAAGAGTAAACCAGAGGGAATAATCGGTTTCACAGCAAAATGTGCAGAACAGTTAACATTCAACAAATCAACCAACTCCTGGTAATACCTGAAAACATTCCTAGGCTTAATTGGAGAAATGGTATTTGATATAAATCAGCATGTGAGTTTCTTACTTAATCTTAACCCACAAGTTAGCGCAACCCAGTGAAATTCCTAGGACAAGCAAATGAAGTTTTTGTCACTTCATTCACCCCTCTCCTCAAATCTGCTTCTTCTTTTCCAATTTGGATGCGTCTTATTTCTTTTCCTTGCCTAATGGCGCTGGCTAAAATTTCTGGTACAATGGTGAATAGCAGCAGTGAAAATGAGTACCTGTGTCTTAAGGGCGGGGTTTCAATCTTTCACCACTGAATATGGTGTTGGCTGTGGGCTTTTCATGAATGTCCTTTTTTATCATATTGAGGAAGCTCCCTTCTATTCCTAGTTTGCTAAATATTCATGTATCATAAAAGGGTATTGAATTTTGTAAATGCTTTTTCTGCATTGATTGAGATTAACATTTTTCCCCCCTTCATTCTAATGTGGTGCATTACAGTTACTATTTTTTTGTTATGTTGAAACACCCCTGCATTCCTGGGATAAATTCCACTTACTTAGTTAAAGTTTATAATATTTTTAATATGCTGCTGGATTTGATTTGCTAGCATTTTGCTGAGAATTTCTGCATCTATATTCATAAAAGACACTAGCTGTAGTTTTCTCCTCTTGTGGTACTTCTGTCTAGCTTTGGGATCAGAGTGATGCTGGCTTTGTGGAATGAGTTAGGAAGAGTTCATTCCTCTTCAATTTTTTTGAATTTTGAGAAGGATTGCGTTAATTCTTTAAATGTTTGGTAGAATGCACCAGGAAAGCCACCCCCATCCCTGTACTTTTCTTTGCTTGAGAGGCTTTTGATTACTGATTCCATCTCTTTATTTGTTATAATATAAGTCTGTTCAAATTTTCCATTTCTCCTTGAGCCAGCAATCTGTATGTTTCTAAGAATTTGTCCATCTCATCCAGGTTAATTTATTGAAAATATATTATAATTGTTCACAGTATTATCCTATAATCCTTTTCATTTCTTTAAGGTCAGCAGAAACGTCTTTACTTTTATTTCTGATTTTAGTTATTTGTGCCTTCTTTTTTTTCATTCTTGGTCAGTATAGCAAAAACTTTCTCAATTTCGTTGATCTTTTAAAAAAAATAACTTTTGGTTTCGTTGATTCTGTATTGTTTCTCTATTCTCTATTTCTTTTATCTCTGTTTTAATCTTTATTATTTCCTCCCTTCTGCAGCTTTGGGTTAAGTTTGTTCTTTTTCTAATTTCACGAGGCATAAAGTTAGGTTACTGATTTCAGATCTTTTTTCTTTTTTAATGTAGACATTCAGTCATAAATCTCCCTATGAGCACTGCTTTTGCATCATCCCATAAGTTTTGGTAAATTGTATTTTTGTTTTCATTCCTCTCAGAGTATTTTCTAATCTCCCTTGTGATTTCTTCTTTGATCCATTGGTTGTTTAAGAGCTCTGTTGAAATTGGAAGCCTTCTCTGACACTGCTGTATGAAACAGCTAGAACTCCCAACCTCCCAGGTACCCTGAATTCCCCAGCCCTACTCTTCCTGAAATATTTTTGCATTCTACTAGTATATCCCCATCTGAAATTCTACGCATTCCTTGTTAATTTACTGTCTGTCTCCCTTCACTAAAATCTAAGCTAAAAACGGGAAGCATTCTGTTTTGCACACTGCATATCCTTGACACTAAATAAATATTTGATGAACAAACCATTTCAGTCTAATTGTGGAAGCCCATTTTTCATCATGAATACTGTGACATCTTATTCCAAGTGAGAAAGATGCATGTGGGTTATTCTTCTTGAACTAGGACATACTTGAAGAAAGGCAAAAACCATTATACTAATCCCAAATCACAGTCCTTCTATAAAATAATATGAAAACCCACATTAATATCCTTGAGATAAAGATGAAGAATGAGTTTTCATTACCCATCCTGTATTCCACAGCCATGCTTCTTCAGCCTCCTTTACAGTTAATGGGTACAGTACAGGCTTTACTCTATTTGCATTACCTCCTGGGTGAATTCATTTTCTGTGTGTGGATGCTGTAACAAATTGCCTTGAATTTGGTGGCTTCAAACTACAGAAATCTATTTTCTCACAGTTGTGGATGCCAGAAGTCTGAAATCAAGGTGTCTGTAAGGCGATGCTCACTCTCGAGGCTCTAAGAGAGAATTCATTCCTCATCTCTTTCAGCTTCTGGTGGCTGGCATTCCCTGGTTTACAGCCATATCACTCTAACCTCTACCTCCAGCTTCACAATGACTTCTCCTTTTCTATTTGTCACATTTCTCTCTCTCATAACAACACTTGCATTTAGGCCTATCCATATAATCCAAGATTATCCCATTTTAAGACCTTTAACTTAGCCATATCTTCAAAGATCTCTTTTCTAAGTAAGGTTCATATTCACAGGTTCTAAGATTTGGTGTGGGTATCTTTCAGAGGTCATTTTTCAGCCTATTACATTTACCTTAATCAGGTGATCAAATTTATCATCATGAATAACAGGACAGACCAACATCATGTATCTCCTGATAGCATGCCCTGAGAAAGTACACTACATCACCTGTGCAGTAGTACTCCTGCCAAAAATGCAAAACCTGAACCAAATCATGAGAAAATAATAAGACAAACCCAAACTGAGATATGTTCTTCCAAAATGTTAATGTCATGAAATATGAAACTTTCCAGATAGAAAAAGATTCAAGAGGCACAACAACAAAATGCAATGTGTGATCTTGGACTGGTTCCTGGATTGTGGGGAAAAGTTTTTTTGCTATTAAAAAGCCATTTGTTAGTTAAACTGGAATAATTTGAATGTGGACTATATATTAGATAACAGCATTGTAGCAACATGAATTCCTGAATTTGATCATTGTATTATGGTTAGAAAATTAATGAGACAGTGAGGCAAAGCAAATACGGCAAAATAATAACAACTTACAAATCTAGGTAAAGGGTATATGTCTGAAATATTCTTGAAAATGCATTGTTAGTTTCAACTTTTTCAAAACAAAAACTTGAAAAAACGGTTTTCTTCAAGTGAAACAAACCTGTATTAACTGCAAATAACTGTCTCCCCGCCAAAAATTATACTTTGTCTAAAAATTTAAACTTAAAAAAAAACCCCAACTATAGTGTAAAGCTCCCTGGCCCTCTGGCCATTCCCTCTAAAAGAGCAGGACATTTTTCTGTCTGTCCACAGTCAAGGAAGACTGAGCACAAACAAAAAAATCCACACTAAAATATATATACACTCATATACAAGCATAAAAATCATTTCTTGTCAAAAAGGAAAATAAAACAATTCAAAAGAGGGAAGTTAAATATTCATCCTCTTGAGTACCCCACAGAGTACCCCAGCTTACAGCCATATCACTCTAATCTCTAATCTCTTGGTGTGATCAAACCAGAATGCCTGGAAATGACATCCTTATATTGTCTTTCCGAAACCAGGTTGAGACTTATGAAATAGATAGCATATAAGGGAAACCACATTTTAACCACAGAGAGTCACTAAGGAATGTTACACATGAGGGAAACTATTAGTGTTTAAATTTTTTAAACATAAAGAACAGACTGGGCATCCTAAAACAGCAACACACGAATTAGGGGGTGAGGGCAGCAGCTCTTCTCATAGTAAGCATAATCCATGAAACTGTAGTTTTGGGTTGGCAAATAATGATCACTAAGAAGTTTCTCTCCCTTATGTCCCTTACTGGGAAACTGAATAATGTCTACGTAAGAATTATATAGTGAGACTAACACCTCCCATAAGAATCTAAACAAAAGACAACAAACCTGAAACTCAAGGGAAACAAAATGTTGAAAAAGTATGTTTGGCAAGAAAACAAATAGTTTCCCCAAACATTACTGAAAACTTACCTTCTGATACAGGAAAAACATCAGCTATTGAGCCTAAAATGGTTAAAGCTGAAAATCTAGTTGGGTAGGAAGAGCCAGGAAATAATGCTTCAAAAAGACTGCTGCAAATGGATGACATGAAATTCTAAAAAAAAAGAAATTTACAGTAAGTATAATTGAGCTAACTCACAACAGGTTTTCATCAAAGTATCACTCTAAAGAGTGGACTTAGTTTTTCTAATTAAGAGAGAAAAGATTTTTTAAAAAAAATACTACTTGTTCACTTTGCTTGACAATTCAGATTGGCACCTTTGACCATGAGTTCATAACTTTAATGAATCGTATCTCTGTAGAGTCAACAAGACGTATGGAAGAAAACAAAAACATTAATTTTAAAAGCTATGTGAACCCCCAAGTTCACTGCAGTATTACTTACAATAGCCAAGATACAGAAACAATCTAAGTGTCCATGGATGGATAAACAGGTAAATAAATAAGTCAGACAGAGTAGGACAAATATTGTATGATCTCACTTCTATGCAGAATGAAAAAAATTTAAAAAAACAAAAACAAGCTCATAAATACAGAGAACAGACTGGTGGTTACTGAGGGGGTGGGGAAGCTGGTGGTTGGCAAAATGGGTGAATAGAGTCAAGAAGTAGAAGTTTCCATTTATAAAATAAAGAGGTCATGGGATATAATGCACAGTATAGTGACTATAGTTAATAACACTGTATTGTATATTGAAAAGCTGTGAAGAAAAAACTTTTTGTAACTTTAGTGACAGATATTGACTAGAATGTATGGTAATCAGGTCCCAATACATACAAATATCAAATCACTGTGCTGTACACCTGAAACTAATATAATATGTCAATCACACCAAATTTTTTAATTAAAAAAAGAAAAACCAAGGAATACAATTCTAGCTATAGTCCAAATCAGAAAAAACTTTTTTTTTTTGGCAAAAACATGATCCTTCTGCCCTGACTTGTGTTAAAGCTGTATGAATATTGATTTCCTTCACCAGAAGCATTCAGGCAATTACCTTTTTGTTAAAGTACTACATTCACCTGGCCCAGATAAACTGTAAAATATTGAGGTTAGCCCATTAATGTTATTCTGTATGAGACTTCAAGTTCAGCCCTGGTTCCACAACTCAGGTTACCACAACAGAAGTGTCAAAGCACCAGAAGGAGTATGTAAAACCCAGCTTGAAGGGAAAAGGCACAGAAAAACTACTCACCAAGAGACTTCCATTTATTCCCCTTTAATGTTTATTCATAATTGTCTTAGGTTAAAAATCTGTGTGTCTAGAAATATACCACCTACCTTATATTGCTCTAAAGAAACAGAAGGGTGCTGTCTGGTTAACTCATTCTCTGGTTCATGTTTGGATTTACTTTGCTCCAGTTTATAAAGTACCTGCGAACTTTCCTGTATCCTACAAAACAACTTTGAGGAAAAGAAAAATGAAGCATATGTGAGCCACATTAACTTTAAACATCAGCTTGAAAGGCAAAGCAAGAACTTTCTAAATTCTTTAGACTAAAACTTCAGGCAAGGGGAATACTGGTTTTTAAACTCTTAATATTTGCACAGTAATGCTTCTTTTTGACAGAAAATTAACATTTACATTTTTGAAATCAAAAAACCAAAATATTACTGCAAACCAGAAGACACAGTCATTAAACCACCGTTCTCCCATTTCCCCTGGGTCAGCATGAACCTAAAGGTGATACACTCACTTCTGTACTCTACCAACTCTTCACCCCAGAAACATGTGGTGGGATTAATTAAGTTGAATTATTTAATAATGACTGTTTCTTGGGGCATTTATAAAAATATAAGGGCATTCTTCCTCCTCTTACCAAAGTTTTCTTAAGTTACCTTACACCCTGAAAACTCCAGCACTAGGGTTTTTTTTTTCTTTCAAAAAAAAAGAGCTTAAGGTTGATTTATTACACCAAAATGAAAGGAATTTTCACTTTAGATTTTAATCCCAAATGTACACTTTATGGAATCATAGAACAAACAGTTCACAGAAGGGCCACGAAGAGCCGTGGGCGTCCAATCCCATGACCATTACTCCCCACACTCTGCCAAAACCTGGCCTCGTTTTAAAAAATGATTTCCAGAGCAAAGTTCACCGCTTTCCTACACTTTGTGATGAGAAACTCTACCTTTTCAAGAAGAGAACAAATCTGTTGCCGCACTCCTGGAGACTGACTGTTAAGGTTGTATGTGATAAAGAAGTGAATCCACTGCATTTCTTCTGTGGAAACAATTTCTGTGCTTCGATTACTTTCACAAAGCAAGCCCAATGTATCGATCCGTACCTAAAACACAGCAAGCAATAGAATGGTGCCTTTTCAATGAAATAAGCAAAACTAAACCACTTGACATGTTTAATTACTTACACAGGCTACCAAAGGGGGAAAAAACACAGTAAACCTCAGTTTACCCATATGTACCTCAGAAAGCTTCCCCAATCCCAAAGGTCCTTTGGTCATTTCCAACAAAATTATTCTACATAAATGTATAAATTGGGTATTTACAGAAGTCAAAAATCCTAAGATTCTTATTCCACAGTATGCTCAACTTCACTCTTTTCTTTTTCCTCAGTGACCACTTTGCACCAGGACACCATCATCTCACCCTCCGATTACCATCATGCACATCTAACCGGCCTCTTGGTTTCTTTTTGCTCCCATCTGGCAACTCATCTGTTTCCATTCATGCCACTTCCTGGCTGAAGCAGAGTGTCTCTGGTCTCCACTTAACAACTGGACAAAATCTGTAGTCTTTAGTCAAGCATTGGAAGTGTCCACAAAATGGACAAAATACTCCACTCCTACCAAACAAGGTCCTCAATCTCCTTTCAGCCCTTGTTTATTTGCATCCTTCCATGCTAAGCAGGTGCCAGAGCTTCCTCTCCTTTGATCACATTTATCACTTTCCTAATCAACCACCACCTACACTCAGATCAATCTCTTCTTCTGAGCCTCCCAAGTTCTTACACATAAAGGTACACTCGTATCTTTATTGTCTTTTCAGAGTTTCCAGTTGTTTTATGGAGGTTTTCTTATTCCCTCATCTAAACTTTAAGTAGCCTGAGTGTCATGTCTACACTTTTCACTTTCTATGCATTCTTACGGAGCCCCTAAAACAGTGCTGGGCATAACATAGGGGCCTCCATATCACACTGCTAAATGAATAAATGAATCAAGGATCTACTGCATGTATGCATTCCCCATTATTTTGTTTACTTACTTGGCAGTGCTGATGAATTAAGCCTTGCTTTATTCTTTCACTGGACACAAGGTCCGTCCAGGCATCAGTTGCAGACTGAAGATGCCCATGAGCTCTAGCTGTTT